AATGAGAGGTCTCCGTCCTAATTCCTGGAACGTGTGTATAAGGTAGGTATGTGGCAAATTAAAGTCAATGGCATTAGGGTTGCTGGGGAAACTATCCTGGATTATCAGAGTGCAGCCAGTGACATTACAAGCGTATTTAAATGTGAAAGAGGGAATTTGGAAGGGAGGTCAGAGTGATGTGTTGTGCAAACCAGAAGAACCTGAGCCCACGTCACCGGCTCTGAAGGGGGGGGGGGGCAAGAGGGCACAGGTCAAGGAATGGGGGCAGCCTCTGGAGGTGGGAAGTTCAAGGAAATGGATTCCCCCGAGAGTCTTCAAAAATGAACACAGCCTTGGCAACACCTTGATTTCGGTTCTGCGAGATTTATTTTAAATTTCTGTCATCCAGAACTGTAAGATAATAAATCTGTACAGTTTTAAGCCCTGAAATTGGTAGTACCTTGTTACAGCAGCAATAGGAAACTGACATGTGCCCTAAGTGCGTTCCTGGAGGAAATGTGAACTGCTGTCAGACCTTGAATTCATCTGTTCAGAAATGACCTGCCAGTAAGCCTTGTACCATGGGCTCCGAAGACTCAAATCCGACCGAGATTCAGTTTTGAGCATATGTCCCCAGCCTCCCCCCGCCCCCACAAGAGGATGCTTATTCAGGGCTAAGCCTGGCCAGGTAGTAAGCACATCAGTAGGCTGAATAGGCTTCTTCTCAGAGAGAAGGAGAGGGTTGGATTAAAAATCTTATAAAACCTTGTTGGTCCCCTCCAGCTCTCCAAATTCTACGAAACTAGAGTTCTTAGCTTTTTGAGCAGTTGATAAAATATCAGTGATGCTTTGGTTTCTGCAACTCTATCTGTTCCGTGATGGTTTGATCAGAGCAAAGCCCAGGGCTGCAACCATTTGGCTGGATGGGAGTCTCGAGGAAAACAGGGACGTCCTTCCAAACTATGCCTACCTGCACCGCACCCCCCCACACACACACATACACACCAAAGGGCTTTCCTTCGGCTTCTCCTGCTCCTGCAGGAAGGCAGTCATCACAGGCTCACAAGTTCACATGCACGGCCTGAAGGAAAGTGTGAGCAGAAGCACCCGGCCCTCCACACAGACTGCTGGAGAACAAGGGCTATGATGGAGGGGCCAAAGCTCTGTGCTCATGGCTCACGGCGGCCTTCCGCTTGAACCTTCCCCCTGGCCAGCACCACACCTTTGGCTTTCTTAACGAGGTGTCCAAGAAGCTGGAAGCTTTGGGGTTGCAAAGTGCGGGACTGTACTTGCATTAAACTCCAAGACCCTAAATCACCACCCCCAGGCTGAGGAAGGCTTTCTTAAGGGTGGGACGTGTCCAGAATGAGGTACAAACACTTGTATTTCCCGAGCCGGGCTACTTGGCATCTGTGCCATGCCAGTGGCCCGTGAGGCTGCAGCCGGGGTTCCGATGTGAGTTTTGTGGGGAGCCACTGCCATTTTCTTTGGCTGTCTTTTTGGAGGGCTTTGCTCTCGAAGTTCTCACTCTGCCTGCATGGTTGGTAAATATCCTTTTCCGGCTTCATTCTGGGCTCGAAACCAGTGTGGAAAAGTTGATTCACGGATTTGATTCAACCGCCTCTTGTTTCTATGGAAACCCAGACTGCTCCATAAGCCCACTTGTATATACCTACTGCCCAGCCCATTTCACTAGCAACTTAAAAGTAGACTGTCACCTCCCCTGGGTATTAACGTTTAACTCAGAAGTGGAAGTAGCTTTGTGGGACACAGAACATCCACATGCAAAGAACTCACAAGAGCCAAATCCAAAATTGCCGTTTTATATTATGTGGCCTCAAACACAGAGGCCCACTGGACTGTGAAGACAGACTCGGTGGTATTTCTGAGAAGAACCAAGCATACCTGTGATGGAAGGGGCTCAGAGGCTGCATCCAAGCTCAACTGTGGAGTGCTGTGATCGATTGGTGATGCCTGCCACAAACCTGGGAGAGGCCGTGGAGACACATGCTCTCCCTGAATTAAATGCTGTTCGTCTGGGGCATCTGGGTGGCTCAGTGGGTTAAGCCTCTGCCTTCGGTTCAGGTCATGATCCAGGGTCCTGGGATCAAGCCCCACATCAGGCTCTCTGGTCAGCTTCTCCCTCTGCCTGCTGCTCCCCTACTTGTACTGTCAGATAAATAAATAAAATCGTAAAAAACAAACAAACAAACAAAAAACCACAAACACTGTCCACTTCACAGCAAAGCAGCACGATTGGTCTGTTATTCACAAGGGCTTCTAGGAGCTCAGATCCAGGAATCAAGCCAGTAAGTCATAGGAGTCACTTCTGATCCACTCAGGGCACAGCAGCCCCCTAGAGCCAGGTTCTTTAGGCCATGGACACTAGTGTCCCATCCCTTTTATCTGGGGTATGCTATGTGCTTGTCTTGAGCATTTGCTATAAAACATTAAGAGGTAGCTCCATCCTTAAATGGGGGCCCATTCTGCAGAGAGCAGGGGCAGAGAGTGTCCAATTTCCCCTCTCCGGAACCGGGGACCCCAGAAGTATTAATTAGAAGCATTGTTGTTGCTGTAAGCAAAGGAAAGCTGGCTGGGATTGGCTTCAGTGAAGTGGGAGACCATCCTTGCAAGGTGTGGAGATATCAGGACACCTCCAGAGAGGAATAGGAAGCAACCAGACCTCAGGGACAACTGTCCCAGCAGGACTCTCCCACCACCTCCTGAATCCGACTCACTATCGTTGGCTTTAGACTCTCCCACTGGCTCTTCTAGGTAAGTAACTGGTCTCCGTCAGCCCCTGGGCCTCCAGCCCCCAATCAACGCTGTTCTTCCCTTCATTCCAATTCAGAAAGTCCACGGATGGATTCTTTTTTTTTTTTCTTTTTTCAGTGTTCCAAGATTCATTATATATGCACCACACCCAATGCTCCATGCAATCCGTGCCCTCCACAATACCCACCACCAGGCCTCGCCCATCCTCCCACCCCTTTCCCCTCCAAAACCCTCAGTTTGTTTCTTAGAGTCCACAGTCTCTCATGATTTGTCTCCTGCTCCGATTTCCATAATTCACTTCTTTCCTTCTCCTAATGTCCTCCGTGTTATTCCTTATGCTCCACAAGTAAGTGAAACCATATAATTGACTCTCTGCTTGACTTATTTCATTCAGCATAATCTCCTCCAGTCCCATCCATGTTGATATAAAAGTTGGATATTCATTCTTTCTGATAGAGACATAATATTCCATTGTATATATGGACCACATCTTCTTTATCCAGTTGTCTATTGAAGGGCATTTTGGCTCTTTCCACAGTTTGGCAATTGTGGCCATTGCTGCTATGAATATTGGAGTACAGAAAGCCCTTCTTTTCACTACATCTATACCACAGAGGGATTTGTTTTTTTTTGTTTTGTTTTGTTTAAGTAGGTTCCATGCCCATTGTGGAGCCCAACATGGGCCTTGAACTCACAACCATAAGATGGAAACCTGAGCCTGATCAAGAGTCAGAAGTTTAACCAACTGAGCCTTCCAGGTGCTCCCAGGGAGGGATCCTTCCCAGCCTGGTTTGCACAGGTAGGCCCTCAGGGCTACAGTAGTCTGACTGGCTGAACTTGGGTACAGGTTTAGCTTAGGGAAGGGACAGCCCTGGGCACCAAGAGCTATTTGCGGAGGCCCACCGCTGTGTATCAGGGCTCCTCTTAGAAAACAAGCAGAGTGATCGCAGGTTACACCTCCATGCAACCACCACCCCACAAACCAGGACTAGGCATGGAAAGGGGGAAAGCAGCCCTCACCTTCTAGGGTAGATTAGAGAGCTCAGAATCATCAAAGTCCAGAAGCTTTAGCCAATGGAAGTATGTCCAACATATGGAGTCTGAGGCAAGAGCATCAAACAAAAGAGTAACAATAATCATAATAGAAGTAGCCATAATAAGAAAAATAATACCATTCATTGAGCATCTACTTTTTGACAAACATATTAAAGCACATTACATGTACTATTTCTAACTTTACCACCCTGTAAGGTGGTGCTATTGGGCCCATTTTGCAGTAAGAAAAATAAGATCCACCGGACATGAAGAGAGTCTCCTATCAGAGTTACTAAGCACCAGAATTGGTTCTAAAATGAAAGGCTTGGAGAAAGGATCAAGCCAGAGGAAGCAAGTCTTTCAGGAAGTAATGTTCCTGTGATCCCCTGGGGGCAAATGTGCTTACAGAGAGAAAGGCTTTTTGGAGGATGAGGCAGAGCCTCTGGGCAGAGACAGTCTGTAAACCTAGGAGGTTTGATACGGGCGGGGGTGTTTGTCCTGATTCACCTGTTGTTCCCGCATCTGTATTACCAGCACCACCTCTCATTCTCAAAGGCAGTCATGTGCTAGCTACTAAGTGTTTAAAAGCAGGTCTCACTACAGACACATACATGGGTATGTATGGATGACACCGCACACACACACCTGGTACAAAGTTTGTGTAGTATGCAATCTACGGATAATACTAAAATATACACTATTCTTTACTGAAAATTCCATCTGTCCAACTGATTCTCAGAGAACACTTTAGTTGGTTTTTGCCCAAATCCTGTATCCTTAGTCAGCCTGCGGCTGCGTTTCCACCACCATTTGATCAATTTCCCAATAAATTGCTAGTAGAAAGCTTCTAATTCTTTTTTCCTGATAAATTTATTGTCATTAAATCTAATAGGTGATCTACCATCAAACTGTTTCTCTTCCTTGTACAAATTAGATTCAGAAAGTCTAAGCAGAAACTTCCCTCAGCTTCAGTGCTCCTGACTGCACCAGTGCCGACCGTCCTCACAGAGCTGCAGGGATTACAACATTGTTTGATGCCACCTTATTTAACAGCAGCTGTATTTGACACCTGGCTGCAAAAAGTACAGAAACGTTAAGTGACAGACTCATTGCTCGCTGCCAGCATGAGCCAGTGCAGACACCCCACTAAGAAAATGCCCCAGTTCCAGCAAGATATCACAGAGTTGCTTACCTTCTAGAAGAACACGTCCAGCTCTCCCTCCGTAACTGCAATGCTGGGGCCTTTCACATCATGATATTAAGGACCAGCCAAGCAGAGGAGAAAGGAAAGGGCAATGGGAGAGGCTTTGCCTCCCAACACATGACCTGGGATCTGGGTTGTGTGGACTCTCCAACTTTTAAACTGTTCCTCACTGGGGCGAACAGGCAGGGACACTGAAAGACAAAGTAGGGGCTCCTGTGAGCTAAGTGGACTCCTGTGATTTTCTGAGTGTTGCAGTTTCTTTACTTTTTACAACCAGCAAGGAAACGTTCTTACAACTTCCCTGTACCTGCCAACAACGTGACTCTGTACTTACAAAACCAAGTTTATCTCAAATGTTTATAGGGCTTCATAGTGTGGGAAAAAGTGACTCCCAGCTTGGATATTTATGTGAGTAAGCTATTCAATCTCTCTAAATATCTATTTTTTTTTTAGCTATAAAATAGAAACAAGCAAGGGCACTAATACTAAATGTAAAATTTGTGCTTTAATTAATATGAAATGCTTTAACTAATTAATTAAGAATTAAATGAGATAAGATACATGAGGGAATCCTTGTAAACTACCAGTGTAAAGTACTATCATTATACTGTTTACATTTTTACTGACATTTAAAACTAGTGGCATCAGTAAGGATAGCCAGCAAAGCTGCCATTAAAAAAACAAAAACCAAAAAAGCTCTCCAAAATTCAAGACAAAAAGCTTCATTTTCTCCAAGTTATTTTTTTCCAATTATTTTAGAATTATTTTAGAAAAATGAAGAATCAATATAAACTATTCCTATAATGTTACCCACCTTTACATTCCCAGGTCGCAATTCAACAATTTTTTTATTGAGCCCGTCCCCTGTGTCAGACACTGTACTAGGTTCGGGGAATTCCTGCCCTTGAGACGTTCTTACTAAGTCACTTCCTAAAAACTCTGGCATGTAGGTACCCGTAGGTTTTTACGCAAAGCAGGACTCGATGCCAGCATGTCATATCTGAGTGCTCTGATGTAAGGATATTCTCCTGCCAGCTCTAAAATGAGGGGAAAAGCTCCATCAACAAGGACACACTCGGGATTCGAGGGAAGGAGCACAGTGTCCTGGGAGCAAAGGGTCCCGGGAGCAAAGCCTGCATCTCGTTTGTGAAACAACAGGAGAGGCAAGCTTCTGAGAATGGGCAGTCGGAGACAGAGCAGCTCTCTGCGTTTCGTGAAGCAGAGGACAGACTGCTTTCAGTGAGTGTGGGGGGATTGCTGGTTTGCTGGCTTGCTTTTGCCTTTATTCTCTGTCCAAAGCTGAATGCTGTCGGTCTTGGCTTAACTGAGGCTAGTCACAGAAAACCGAAAACCAGCAATTTGCTTTAACTATGTAATGTTAATGGACTATAAACTGACAAAGGAAAAAGGACTCCTTAACATGCAAGAGATCAGAGCTGAATTTGAAACAAATAAAAAACATTTACATGTAAATTCCTGTAGCAGACTTATAATTATTATCTAAATAAATACACTTATTCCCTAATGAACAGGCTACATTGTACATAAATTTCTAATCCTAAATCAATTGATCACTACCAAAATAAAGGTTACTGGGTCACTCACTTTTTGGGAGGACTTTTTCTAAGTGTTGTGTCATAATCACTGATGGGAGGGAAATTTGGCGATACACTTCTTGAGCCTGGAAAACATTCAGAATCTTTGGCCCCTACTAGGAATCTAATTTAAAGAAAGAATTAGATACAGAAAAGATAAATGGACAATATATTCACATGAGTGCTATCACAGCAAAAACATTGGTTATAAAATTGTTTTGTCAATAGAATTGAATATTGAGAAACTATTAAACAGCATGTTTTCAAAACCTCACATTTTGGGAATTTATAATGTTTACAAAAATAAATAGGATGTGAGGGGCGCCTGGGTGGCTCAGTGGGTTAAGCCGCTGCCTTCGGCTCAGGTCATGATCTCAGAGTCCTGGGATCGAGCCCCGCATCGGGCTCTCTGCTCAGCAGGGAGCCTGCTTCCTCCTCTCTCTCTGCCTGCCTCTCTGCCTGCTTGTGATCTCTCTCTGTCAAATAAATAAATAAAATCTTTAAAAAATAAATAAATAAATAAATAGGATGTGAAACTGTTTATAATAAAAAATGCCATATGTAAGCTACATTGTATGATACATTTAGTATATATTTAATAATACCTATATACTGTATATATATGTACACATATCACATAGAAAACATCTGAAAGGAAATACACTAAAAATACTAACAGTAGTTTTCTCTAGGTGGTGGGATTTTGAGTGGCTTTTATTTTCCTAATCCTGATCTTCTTGTTACCGAGGTTCCCAAATAAGCTTGAGGACCTGCCAAGAAGAAAGACTATGCTGGCCAGGTTGACATGTAGTTCCTATGACAATTATGAGTACAACTCTAAAATAATAAACTGACATTTTTAATATCTTAACATAAATATTTAGTGGCAAAAAAAAAAAGGACCATGATGAAAAATTTGCCAAGTATGGAAAAGTAAAAATATTGGGGAAAGAATCATCTAGAATTCTACCAGTCAGAGGGAAATGCGATTCCTGTCCTGTGACAGACTCAGTGGCTTTGAGCTATGCCACAGAGCCCTGCTTTTGCCAAGGAAGTGCCCTGGGAGCTGTCAGAGTGGAGATAGAACAAGGACTGACCGAGTCCTCCCCTCCAGGTGGGGGACCGGGAGCAGAACCCCCATCCTCCACATCAATCCATTTTGCATTTTAGACTTTCAGCTAATATTGCATTTAAAGAAAGACTTGGTGGCAAAACAAGTACAAATATAACAACTGAAGGCTGCCCTATTCAACCTCTTCTCTAAAGCTAGACCGTTTCGTTTCTAGTTTTTTCTCTAACCTAATGGAGGGCTGAGGATAATGATCATTTTTTAAAGCTCTCGATGTTGCCAAATTGCAACAAATTGTTGACACAAAGGTCAACCTGTTCACATTCCCATCAGCTTGCTCATCTCACCAAAGCCTTGCCTCCAATGAGCAGAATTAAAAAAAAAAAAACACTCTTTGTTAATTTGATAGATTTAAATTACAGTCCCTCATTGTGCTTGCCCATTTTATTTTTTTTTTTAAGATTTTATTTATTTACTTGAGAGAGAGAGAGAGAGCAGGAGAGGGGGGTAGGATCAGAGGGAGAAGCAGGCAGGGAGCCTGATATGGGACTTGATCCTGGGACTACCAGGATCATGACCTAAGCCCAAGGCAGTTGCTTAAGCAACTGAGCCACCCAGGTGCCCAGTGCTTGCCCATTTTAAAGGCTGCTTCCTCCCCTTTGAGTACTTCTTCCAAGACTCCTTCCATCAGCAAACTCCCCTGTGAGGAGGACGTGGACACCCCCTCACTAAAGTGACTGGAGCCATCCCGCAGCTGGTGCTTGCGTTGTCTTCTCACGGGGCCCCAGGCCAGCCATATGACTTGACTTCAGAGAGGGCCAAACTCATGGAAGAAGGCCTCCACGAGAAATGACAGATGCCAGGTCTACCATCCCTCTTCCTCTCAAAACACTGTCCTGAACCACGGAATCTCAGAACTGTCCGGGGCCCTGAAGAGTGGTCTTCCTCAGGCCTCTGGCTACACAGATGAAGGAAGGCTCGAAGCCTGCAGTGGGAAACCAGCGTACCAGTTAACGATACAGCTAAGACCAAGACCTGCGTCTGTCTCCTGGGGTCCTTAGCCCCATGTTCTTCCCACTGCCAGCCTCCAGCTGTCTCTATAACCATCAAACGGCAGCCAAAGCCAGCTGTGACCCTTTAGCCTTCTATCTGATCACACAGTAGGAAAGGGTGTGTCACCATCATCCAGGTGAAAGAATGACTCACAAGGGCCCCTGACCCAGGGGGTGAGTAGAAGCTGAAACCCAGCTCAAGCAGAGGGGTAGAAAATAAATGCAGAAAGAAAACAAACTGGGAGATGCTCCCCTGAACCCGGCCAAGTTTTTAGAACTCAACTTTCAAAGTCAGCCTAGGAGTGACCACTAGGCGGAGCTCTGTCTTCAAAATAAAGTCTTGTTCCTTCAGTTACCAACTGGCTTTTAGCTCAAATGACCTTAGCTTGAAAATATCAAAGACTTAGTGCAAGGATTTGCTCACCAAATCCACTGGCTCTCATCCAAATTTTATGCCGATGTACAGTCTATCCTCTGTAGTGCCCCATGAGTTAAACCTTTCCATTTTGGTCCTTAAATTATTGTGTTAAAAGTAAATATAATAGGGTCTCCTGGGTGGCTCAGTGGGTTAAGCCTCTGCCTTTGGCTCAGGTCATGATCCCAAGGTCCTGGGATGGAGCCCCACATCGGGCTCTCTGCTCAGCAGGGAACCTGCTTCCCCATCTCTCTCTCTGCCTGCCTCTCTGCCTACCTGTGATCTGTCTGTCAAATAAATAAATAAAACCTTTTTAAAAAAAAGTAAATACAATATATATGCTTCTGCGTATGTATGTGCATGTATAAAATAAAATCGAAACAGAGAAGTTACAAAACATACATTTACCCAGGAAACACAGAATTTTAAATATATATTTAAAATGTATTCTAACATATAAAACACATATTTTATATTATGTAAATAAAATGTAAAATATACTTAATATATATTGGTGTAATTATATTCATTATATATTTAAATGTATTTTAATACATAAAATATGTACTTATTGTATTTATATATTATGTATTTAAAATTCTTTCTGCTGTTAAGTGACAAATAAATGCTTTGTAACCCCAATTATATATAAAATATCTATTAAGTATATTCTATGTTTGTATGTAAATGCTAAATATAAACTTTATATAATAAAATATTTTAAAATATTTATTTAAATTTTTCCCTGTTGCTGGTGACAAATACATGCTTTGTAACTCCTCTGGCTCCGTTTTCCCCATAATAACCACCAAAACCCCCCAAAACACAAAATAGCTCTTTTATTGACCCATCCAAGGTATTTAATTCTATGTTTCTCTAGCCCATCTGTTCACATATAGTTGAAAACAGAAAAGAAAGAGAGAGATTAAATTTAAAGAGAAATGTCATTCGCTGCTGTTCCTGGCTAAATTAGGACAGAAAGCACAAAGGAAAACAAGAGTCTATTGTAGCTAAGAGGAAGAGAGGTTTTAAATAGTCCTAACCAAATACGAAAATATAACAGTTCTCTTCTAGTTTTCTTTAGTGCTAGTTCTAACATACAGGTTGAGGGGTGGAAAAAGCATATTTTTAGTCGTCATTATTTATGTTGCTTTGAGGAAAATCACCTGTGCGGAACACGAAAAACAATAAATTGGGAGGTTTTAATGAGATCGATCAGCAACTTTTCTCAGCCTCCCAGGGAAAAATAAAAAGAAAAACTCCCACCGTCACCAAAAACCAGGCTTGCACAACCTCAGGGCAGATACAGACAGACCCATTAACTATACGGCGAGGGAACTAGACGGAAAAAACACCTACCAACAGGCTTCTCATCAAGGCAAATATATATCCAAGGTTTCACTTCGGGAAACTGAGACCACTCAAAACAGTTGGAAGATACTTCATACATCCCTGCAGGACCCGGGATCCGAGCTCTGAAAATAACCAGAAAAGCACACACGTGTTACTCTTGGTGATACACAGCTCCCCTTGGTCATTGCAGTTCCCATCCATTCCTCTTTTAATCTAGATTCATTCGGACATAGGAAGTGAGAAAAACCCAAACTGTGCAGAGAAGAGAACGAACGGGTGTGGGGGTAGCTCATCACATTGGAGGGAAAACCGTCCCCACAAGTTCCGTAAGTAATAAAAGACTGGGAAAGAAACCTGTTTAGCAGGACAGAGAAACCTCAGGTCGTCAGACACTCCTTGGATTCAGAATACAGTATCAGAGAACGAATCAGACAGGAGACTCTCGCAGGTTGGTAAAACAGAGCTTTTATAGGTGAACATCTGCCAGGAACTGGGAACAGGAACTTATTTGTCCTCTGGCCTCTGGGTAGTCCTCTGAGAACAAGACTGCACACAGCTAGGAGTGATCACAATCAGCTTGCCCTGTCTCTTAACAAATACTGCCTCTATATGACACCTATATCATTCAAGGATGAGTAAATGAGGGGGAAGGGACCCTAAGAGTAAGAGCTAATTGTAAAAACCACAAAAAAATAGGAAAGGGAATTCATCTTGATGATCCAGTAGAATAGTATCTCTAAAAATAATAAATAACCTAGAGTAAAATCCAGAAGGTTCAACAAACTGGCATCCTCTGTAGGATATAAAAAGATACTGTCTCTATTTAGCAAAAGCAAAAACAAAACAAAACAAAAAACTCATAAAGAAAGAATAAGTGGAGATGAAAATTGAGGGATATGGGATAAATTAATGCTTTCCACAGATAATGAAGAACCCATAACGAGCCAAGCATGGTGTTAGAAGCGGAGAACACAGAGCTGGGTGAAACAGACACGAGGCCACTTTTGAGGCGGCTCAGACTTTGGTGAAATTCACAGGCAAAAAAGTAATAAATGGTTTAAAATGCGGTAACTGCTATCAAGAAGATGTACAGGATGCTGATTTAGGGAATTATGGGGTGGGGGCACCTACTTAGATGAAGGCATCCAGGGAAGGTATCTGTAATGGGGTGGGATTTACTCTGAGCCAGCTTTGAAAAGAGCAAGGAAAGAGCATTACTGGCAGAGAAAGCAGCTTGCCTTAAGACGAAAAAAAGAGTTCTGCGTGCTTGAGGACCGGAAAAAAGAGCAGTGTCCCTGGTGAACGGTAGAAGATGAATTAGGAAACTAAGCAGTGGTCAGCCACATAGGACCTTTATGGCCAGGAAGAGCACTTTGGATTTTAAGTACGAAAGACAGTTACTGATTGTGAATATTTATGTGTGTGTGTGTGTGTGTGTGTGGGTGTGTGGGTGTGCACGCATGTTTATATATATTTTTATGTGTTTATTTGCATATATATATACACACACATACATAAATATACTTAAATATATATATTAATTACTACCACATAGAGAATGGACTAGAAGAGACCATAGAGGAAGCAAAAAAGGTAGAGGGTCTTAATTCCGGAGTACAATGGAGACAAACTGGCTGTTTAAAGAGGCACAGGGCAAGCTCCCAGGATGCAGAAAAAAAGGGAGCAGAGATCAAAAACACAGGAAAGATAACCAAGAATACAGAACTATTTTCTGGATAGCTGGCATTTCTGATGGAGAACTCGCAGCCATTGGTTGAAAACATTGGAGATAAAAGGACAACTTCCTGAAACAAACAATACCTAAGTCTAAAAAAATAAAAATTCATCCTTTGCCAAGAAAAATTAGAGTCCAGCCGCTGGATATTTCCTTAAGAAATGCCTGAATTTACAAAATAAATAATCAGATTTGTTCAAAGTTATCTGTAGAGAAAAATGTACAACCAGCGTGGCTTTGGACTTTGGCTCCATAACAGGAATTCCCAGAAGGCGCCATGGAACGACATCTAGGGGTCTGAAACATAACAAGTATGACTCAAGAATCCTATCACAAGCCAATATTGTTACTTATGTGAGAAAACAACAAAAAGGTATTATCACATCTGCAAGGACTAACGATACAGGACCCACAGAAAAATTACTCAGGTCTTATCGTAAAAGGGGTGACTCAAGAATGGAGAAGTTATGATACAAAAGAAATGAGTAGGAATGTTATTACTTCACTCATAGAAATAAGTCTTATGGGGTGCCTGGGAGGCTCAGTGGGTTAAAGCCTCTGTCTTCAGCTCAGGTCGTGACCCCAGGGTCCTGAGATCGAACCCAGCGTCCTGCTCTCTGCTCAGCAGGGAGCCTGCTTCCCCTTCTCTCTGCCTGCCTCTCTGCCTACTTGTGATCTGTCAAATAAATAAATAAAATCTTTTTAAAAATTTAAAAAAAAAGAAATAAGTCTAAAAGGATGTGTTGAATATACTTTCAAAATAGAGAGCAAACGAGTATGTACATTGTACTTGAAAGTTACACAATGAAAAAATATACTAATAAAAATTGTACCTAAAATCCCACATACCAACAAGAATCGGGAAATGTGAGTGAAAATTCTCACAGAAAGTAAAACTATTCTATCTGGCTTATTTGGGCACATAATTGCATAATTGCTATGAAGAAAATGAATAATAGGGTCACAGTTTTGACAATAGCAAGGGGGGTCTACTCAGAAGAAATTACCAGGTAAGATCTGTTTAAAGAACTACCATTGCTTTACTCTTCCAGAGGTGGAGCAAAGGTGCTCTGAAAGGACAGAACATTTATATGTTGGCCCCATAGTATTTAATTAGGTCCAGAATTGACCCAGTTGGAACGATAGAACACAACCAGAACTCGTAACCAATACAGAAATGGACATTAAAAGCACTTTATTCCTGAATCAGCTAAATAGAGTAGACAGCTTATCCATCTTATAATTAAAATAGGGTAATGTTTAGTGTATATGTACAATTCTATAAGCATATCATTCAAGTTAAATGGATATTTATTCTGCATCTTGTCATCATAAAGCTGAACTGAGTATTTTTTTATAAAGAAGGGCAGAGAGCTTTTCTGTAATATTGAAAAGCCTGTTTTCATAGTTTCAAGGGCAACTGGCTTATAACCATTACACCATGAATATTTATTAGAGGAAACTACATTGAGTTAAATTATTTGATTCTAGGATATTGCTTGTTCTCTTAAAATGATAAACAATGGCGATTCAAGATCCACTTAGACCAGAGATGGGCAAACTTTTCCTGCAAAGGGCTGGATAGTAAATATTTTTGTCCAGGCAGCCATATAAAATACGTAAACGAATGGGCATGTCCATGGTCCCAAAAAACTTTATTTTAAAAATGGGTAGAAGGGTGGATTTGGTCAGGGGCCATAGTCTGCCAACCAATGATTTAGATGGTTCTTCCAAACGAGTCCCCTCAGTTCGTGGAACTTACTTCTCTAATGATCGTCCTCCTGGCCCTGCCTCAGCCGCTTTCATGATCACACCCTGAGCCACAAGCATGCCATTATTAGTAACTGACACCTTTCCATCACCTTGATCCATCTGCTCCGCTCAAGGACCTCCACTCATACCTTTCCTACTTAGAAAAGAACTGTGACCCATATAACCCTTGGCCCCGTCAGGTCCTTCAACCCACTGGTCCTCTCTACACTATCCATCAGCCCCTGCTGTCCTTCTGCCCTCCCTCCACAGACTTTAATCCCATGGGAAATCATGACCATCCCTCCTTTGCATAAATTTCCAGCTCTCTCAACCCTCCTTTGCTTTGCCATTCACTTGGCAAAACTACACCCCTGTTTAAACCCAAATCTCCACACACTATGCAGCTGAATGGGCCTGGAGGAAATCCCAAAGCCACACTGACTGGTCCTTTTCATTCATGACCATAAATCTCCAGTGAGCACTTTCTGTGCCCTTTCCCTAATCTGATCAGTCTCCCACTCTTGGCTTTATACCTTCTCTTTCCATGGGCCACCAGCACCTCCTCTACAACCATCGCCAGTCCCTGACAAGGCTTATCATTTCATCGTAAAATTAGAAGCTATCAGAATGAAAGTTCTACAAACATGCCAGCCAGCCTGGCCTTCCCTCTTCCCTATACACATTCCTACCTACTTCACTTGTGAGCTATTGCCTCACTTGGTTCTGAACCCCATGACCTCTTATCTACTTAAGGACACCACTCCCAACAACTCTCCCTTCTCTCTCCAAGGTCTCTACTGAATCACTACTATGATTCCATCGTCTATCAGTCACTCTGGGTGGGATTGGGGGTAAGGGTGGGTGGCATGGCAGAAGACCCTGCTCTGAGTAGGAAAAGTAGGGCAGGTAGAAGGAGGTTGTCCTCAGCCAATAGGCAAAACCAGGGCAAAGGGAGATAGAAACCACAGTGTACCCCTAAGAGTGCCCCACTTCCATTTCTCTAACTTTCCAGGCAGGTTTTGAAAGAAAAAGAAGTCCAGTTGATGCCAGCTAAATGTACTTGAAAAGGCAAAGAACTTAGTGTAGTTTCCAACAGAATAGAGCCAGTGACCTGAGCCCAACTCAGCCTGTGGAGAATTTAGATGCGTGTCAGAGAGGTTTATGCTCACTCAACTTCTAAGCCCTTGGATTTTATTGCCATTTTCCTTCTTGTTCTATTGAACAATCTTTACAAATGATTCAGATGGTTGATTTAGCTTTTGATTATCTTGATTGGAATCAGAGGAAATGGACACTTTTCTTTTCCAACATTTGCTGCAGAACAGGTCAGATGATACAAATACTCTGAGAGGACAGGTATGGCAGGTGCAGGATTTGGGAGAATATGGGGTACACCCAGGTGGGACAGGCAAGGGGGCAGGGAAGGCCAGCAGCTTGGGTTGAGCTCCTTCCCATTGGCTTGGCTCGCCTACGCTGGACGGGGGACGGCCTTTCCATCCTCCAGCAGAATTCTAGAAGACGATTTACATGTTGGTAGAGATAAGATGGGAAAAATCCTCTGAGAAGTCAGGTGGATGGAGTTCAGGTGCCCTGAGAAAAGGCAGAGTGGGCAAATTGACCATTGTCACATGCAGTCATGCCCTATTCAGAAACTTCCGTCATCCAATTCCCACCGATTCAAG